GGCTTGGAGTAGGAGATAAGGCAGGAGACAGAAGGAGCAAGTGCGGGAGAAGAGGAGATAGGAGAGGGAGGGAAGAAAATAAAAGCTGGAGAAGTGAGCAAGCAACATGGAGGTGCAGAGAAGACACCCCCCCATCGTTCTTCCCCCCCCCCTATCGCCCTCACCATCACCAGAGCCCAACCTCAAGTAGTTCTTCACCAGGATGGGAGTCATCTGCAGCTGCTCTCCCGGTGAATAAGCACCTGCTTATCTCTCCCTGCGGCTGTGAACAGCTCCAGATTGCCCAGGCGATGCGATTTCCATATCAGCCCCCTGCAGCCGCTCCAACGAATCGACACAAGAGGCACGTGCCAAGGGGCCAAGGTGGAGGATCACTTGGCAGGGCGGGGAGGGGCTGCGAAAGGGAGGCAGGCAGGCCCAGGGCGGTGGGAGACGGTGGTGGTCTCCATTCCAGTGGGATGGCAGGCACCACCCTGTGGCAGACCAGCCAGGCAGCCTTGGCAGAGAGGCAGAAAGTTTGGGTGCCAGTTGGGAGAAAGGAGGAGAAGACTCAGGGGCATCTGGACAGCCTCAGAATATCCGCAGGGGGGTATGGTCAAAAAAATCAAGATGGCAGCCATGACAATGGCAAGGAATCTCATTGTGGTGGGCGCTGTCTTGACCTTCTGACCCTCTCCTGTGGACCTGAAGGCCAGGGGGAATGCTCTTTGGTTCAACAGCACTTCCATTTCCAGATACCCCAGGCAGGGTTAGGAGCAGGGCAGGGCAGGGCAGGGCAGGGGAGACCATGCAGAGACCTTCCTTGGCAGGAGGAGGAGCAGGGAGGCCCCTGAACAGAGAAGGACCAGTGGGGAGGGGAGGGTCCCCGCCTGCTCTCCTCTCCCTCCGCCGCCAGGGATGCCCAGATGGTCCTCCCGCTGCTGCGGCTGCGGCTGCTGCTGGTGCTGGATTTATGCTGGGGGGGGCGAGGGGGAGGGAAGGCTTAACTGAGCGGCAGGGGGACTGGCGGGGAGGAAGCGGGCAGGCGCGGCAGCCAAAGCTCCCGGAGCCCTGCGAGGAAGCGGGGAAGTTTTGCTGCCGGAGCTCCGAGGGCGCCTCTTGGCCGGTCCTTAATCCGGCGGGTCGCGAAGCCCAAAGCCGCGTCTGCCACCAGGAGGAGGAGGGGGGAGGCTCGGCGGGGCTGGAGGTCCAGCTGGCCGCGCCGCCGCCAGCAGATTTGGGCGGGGGGCTCGAGGGACCCCCCTGCATTTGATGGGCTGCTCCCCGACAGGCCGCCTGGGTGACGAGCGAGAGGCAGAAGGAGCGAGGCGCAACCAGCACCGCGACGCTGTGAAGGGGGGCGGGTGCGGCGGGGTTTGTTCGCAGGATTGGGGCCGACATGTTGACTTTTCTGACCACCCAGGTTACCCCTTCAGCCGGATGTCTTTCACTGCAGCCCTTGGGACGACCCTTCTCCCCCCCCCTGCAAAACACTTTCCCTCCGCTCTTCCCTTTAACCCCAATTCTCTCACAATCCCCTCCTCCTCCTCCTCCTCTGGCAGCTGGTGCTCTGGCATTTTTGCCAAGAGATACCACGCTCGCCCCCCCTCCCCCAACCTTGCCTGGCTGTAGACACTCCAACAACTAACTAAAAATAATCCGAAACCCGAGTTGCGTGTGAAAAAGCCTGGAGCCGCAGGTTTCCTCTTGCCTGCCCTCCCCCTCCCCCATTTCCCAGAGGAGAACAAGGGGTCCTCGCCCAGCCTTGCCAAGGCCTGACCCGCACTTCCTGCCTGCAGAGCAGCTTGTGTTTTCCACACCTGCGCTCTGCAATCAGTTCACATCAGCTCCTAAATCTAACCGAATCCAAAAATATTAAAAGCAGGGCCCATCTGTTGTCCAACTGATGAGAGCAGATGTGTGGAGGATTTCAGAGGCTGGCTGGCAACTATTCAAAACTGTCAGAACCTGCACCTGTCCAGACAACACAGTTCCCCTTTCTGAATCAATCCCCTCCCCCCCCCACGTTTTTGCAAAGGAAGGGGGAGAAATCCCCACTCACCCAGTTAGCTTGAGGAGCTGTGTGTCTCTTAAACAGATTGGGACACAAACACACACACAGCGACACACACAGACAGAGCCATGGAAGCTCTTGGCAAGCCTTTGCACAAACACAAATGCGCTGGCATTAAAGCCGCCCTGGAGTTGGATGAGCAGAAAACAGGCCGGCCATCTCCTGCACCTCCCCCAAGTCTGCCAGCTGCCGGGAAGAATTGAGGTCTCCTGCCTGGGCCAGGGTGGCATCTCCTGGGTGAAGGTGGTCCTCAGCCATTCAGCTGGGTTGCAAATCCCCACGCTGCTCTTTCCACGGCAGCCACAAAGCTGTTGTTGGTCAAAACAGCAGCCTCAAAGGAGCAGGATTGTGTATGGCCTAGGACTGCTCCTTTTCAAGCCTCCCGGTGGGGCCTTTGACACACAGGGGCTCCCTTTCATTCTGCCCTTGGCAAGCTGTAACCAGGGCAGCTAAGGGGCAAGTCCTCGTGTCAGGCTAGCCCCGGGTTTATATATTTACCCCTGGCCTCCAAGCCCCTGTCTGGTTCTAGGCATCATGAAGGGTCCTTGATGCTCTCTGAGCTTGGTTATTTTCTTGCAGACATTTCATTACCCAAATCAAGTAACATCATCAGCACTGATGGCGTAACCTAGTTTGGGTAATGAAAATCTGCAAGAAAAAAACCAAGCTCAGAAAACACCTTCCTTTGAACTCTGGACATCATGCTAAACCATGGTTTACAGAAACAATGGCTGGGTTGTTAACAAGGCGAGAACCTCTTCTAAACCCCCCCCCCCATGTGATGCTTTACACAACAGACACACTTCCCTGTCTAAAGAGACCCTGGCTGGCACAGCCCTGCTGGTCCTCCTGCTGCCCGCTTGTGCCCATGAGCGGTTTCCCTCAGGAAGCCAGCTGCAAAGCCAGGCCTGGTGGCCACCTTGTTGAGGAAGCAGATGGACACCCAGGAGCCCGGCTGTGCCTCTCCACAGCTCCCACTCAGCTGCTCTTCCGAACGGGCAGCTCTGCCATGCTGGGGAACAGCCACCCTTTTTGGCCTGCTGGCGAGCGAGACCAGGCAGGGCGCAATGCCAAGGCAGCGGGCCAAATTCTCTGCCTGTGAACAATGGGCTGGAAAGGCAAGTGGAGGGGGGCGAGGCAGAAGGGGAAGGGCTGGCTTCTTTCCACCGGAGAAGGATGTCACTTGACCTTCCCTTGGGTCACAGCCTGGGAAAGGGCTGCCCTGGCAGGTCAAGGAGAGAGGCCAGGGCTGCCCAGAGGAAGGCTCCCACGGAGATCCTGTTTCCAAGCAGGGTCAGGCTACAATGCCAGCCTCACCCAGCCAGGCTGCCACCAAGACCTCGCCTGGGGACAGAGGAAGAGAGAGAGGCCAACTTAAGACGCCTCTTAAAGCAGCTCATAGCTCGATATTTGCTCTCTGCCCGTTTCCCCCTGGCGTGGCATTTGCAGCCTGTGCTCCAGCAGGTAGTATTGCCACCTGGGCAGCAGCAGTTTCTTTTTATTTTTCTTGCATGCATGCATGTGATGCAACCTTTTTTATGCTTTGGATAATTTCCCGCGATTTCTCGAGAGAAGAGGTGCCTGTTTTGGAATTGGAATACAACAAACGTCCTGATTTCAACTCGGTACTCAGCCCAATTTCCCCCGACTCTATACCTGCAGAGATCAAGGATAAGTCCAATTGACACTTAATGCAGGTGGGGCAAGGGCTCCCACCTGTCCAGAGAGACCAGGGAACTGCTGGATGGATTAAACATCTTAGAACAGGGATGTCCAACCTTAGCTACTTATGGACTCCAATCCCAGAATTCTGGAAGTTGAAGTCCACAAGTCTTAAAGTGGCCAAGGTTGGACATCTCTGTCTTGGAGGAAAAGATAGACCATCATATATTGAATAATAAAAAAAATTCCCATTCCAACTTCTTTCAACTGAGTAGTATGACTGTAGTCCACATAAGGACCAGCCAGCATGATGCTCTCTAGATAACAGATCCCAGAATTTCCTGTCAGCTATTTACTATAAAAGAAAAGACCCATTTTCAACAGCCTTATGCCTTTCTGACTCAAAAGGAAAGCCTAAAACAGAGGACCAGCTCAGAAGAAGAGGAAAAAAAGACACGCACACCCTTTGCTAAGGCTGTAAATAAACTCTCCAGAAGTTAATGTATTTCACTGATACTAGAAGTCAATTTCAGCCAACTCTAGCAGGAAAGGAAATAGGTCCCGGAGAGGATCTTAACTCCTAGTGATTAGGAAGCCACATCAGATACCATCCTCGGGGAGGACTGTTGAGCTGGTCAACGACTGCCTCCTTCTGAGATTCCCCCCCCCACCAGATTCAGTATTTATCCTGTAGCTCTCTTCAGTTCCTAACCAGTATATCCTCGCTTTGCTTTTCCGAGGTGAACCAAGAGCCACCACTTGGCTGTGAGCACACAATACATACGACAACCAAGAGAACTAGAAGCTGGCATGGCAAACCAACCTGCTCTGCAGAGCAGTCAAAGACCCTGGTCTGGCTCCAAGAACGTAACAATCACACCATTAATGGAGATAAGTAAAAGCTCTTCACTAAACCACATTTGGGTTCTGAATTAACCAGTTTTCAGAGTCTCCCCAATGCGTTGTCACAAAGTAGCCCAAAGGGCTGGATTCATAGAGCACATAAAGAAGGAGAAGCCAAGGCTAAAACTAACCTACTTTTAGATTAGTTGTGTGAATGCAACTGGTCATTCACTGACCTGGTTAAGTCTTTCCTACAAACGAATCATCGTCTCCAGGGTTGCCTATAAGTTTGTGGATAACAGTATAGGCTTCCTTGGAGGAATTGGTGGAGGAAGTGGCTTTTGAAACTGTTTTTTTTTAAAAAAAAAAATGTTTAGCAACTTAGAGCTAATCTTTGAAAGTAAGACTTGAACTAACACCTTGAGAGAGGCTCGCCTCTTACCTTTGCAGTCGAAGCCCTGAAGGGTTTTCCAGAAACTGCTATCTCTTCTTCCCGGGACAGGTCATCACCTGGTGCTTCCTCAGAGGGCAGAGCGGGGACTGTTCCGCCTGTTCAGCCTCTCCCTCCTTGGCCAAAGCAGGAGCAGCCCTGGCTGGCCGGAGGAGCCAAGGAAGGACTGCATTGTCTTGTCTTCCAGGCAGAAGAGTTACACTCGGGCGCTCTGTTCTGAAGGCAAGAAGGCAGAGAGGGAATAACCGGGTTTGTATTCCAAGGGCCTCTTTTCTCCGCTTTCTGAGTGGATGCAGTCTATCTGAGAAGCAAAAGCCTCTCTGGTGGGAGCACAGCAGCCACCTCCTGCAGAGGCTGCAACCCTCTAACTCAGCCAGCTGAGCCGAAGACCTTCAGGCAGGAGGAACAACAGGAAGGAGAGGAACTGGCCTTGGACTCGGAAAGGCTCCTGCAGCAACTTGGAGGCAGCTGAAGCCGCCAGGCCCTTCCAGAGATAGGTATTTAAATTCCGCTTTGGGGGAAAAAAGGATTGAAAGGGAAAATACAGATTTTGCTCCTAAGGAAAGAGTGCAGAAATATTTCAGTGAAGGAAAGTTTAAACAACTCCTAGAGGAGCAAAAGCTGCCACCTCCACCTTGCCAGGCTCCATATGAGTTCCGGCAGTTGATCTGGGAATGAGAGGAACAGCCCGGACGAATTGCCTTCCTCTGCCTTTCCCAAGGCCACCCGGCCGAGAAAAGGCTCTCTCCCTGTTTAATTTTCCCAAGGCTCAGTCTGGTGCCCATCGTGCCAGGGCGGGTTGGCATTGCTCCAGTGCCCTACAAGGAAGCTGCCAGCAATGTGGTATTTTTCAACCTTGGCAATTTTAAGATATGTGGACTTCAACTCCCAAAATTCCTTAACCAGGCTGGGGAATTCTGGGAATTGAAGTCCATGCATCTTAAAATCTTAAAGTCCAGGGAATTCTGGGAGTTGAGGTTCGCACATCTCAAAGTTGCCAAGGCTGACTGGCAAAGGGGAAAGTGTTTTATTTATTGGTGCTCCAGCAGCAGAACTCTCCACTGGTTGAAGCAAGCACCCCTTTCATTAATGCCATTCATGGTTTCATTCGATTCTCACGTAGCTGCTTCACAATGGAAAATTATAGGCATTTTTACTAAATCTGTAATACAATAACCTGTTTTCTGTCATTTGTCACAGCTTTTGTTTAATGTTTTTAACGGCATTCATGACACGTAAAAATAACCACGTTCGTTTCAGGAGAAGTGAAGTGCTTAAGAGGAGGCTTCAAGGGGAACACGCTCCACGTTGATGCTTGCTTTCACTCCAAATCCTTGCAAAAACCACACCAGGAACAATGCGCATGGGGTGCCCAACCCCCGGTCCATGGACCGGTTCAGGCCATGGCATGCCACCATCCGGTCCGCACAAACAAGCAAAGCCCCATCCGTGGGATGCAGGCAGCACACAAAACCACACATCCTTTGGTCTGTGGAAAAACCTTTCTCCATGGAACCGGTCCCTGTTGCCCAAAAGGTTGGGGACCTCTGTTCTAGAAGTCTCCATTCCCCATTTTGGAATCTGAGAATGGCTGAGGGGGTCCACATCCCCCATCAAAGAAAAGCAGCCCCCTTTGTGCTCAATGTAGGGCAGTCAGTCGCCAATGGAAGTCAGGAGACTCTCTGCAAGATGGCAGCCCCCCCCAGGACAAAAGGGAGCAGAGAGGGTTCAGCAGCAGCCTGAAGCTAATGGAGATCCATTCCTGGGAAAGAACTGCAGCCTCACAAAGCATCTTAGTTAAGATGCCTTCTGTTGAGGCAGGGCGTAGGTTGTATTGCTTGGTAAAGGCAAGAAAAGAGCTGCTCTGGATCTCATGAGGGTGGCTTGGACAATGGCAGGGGTTGCTCAAAGAAGGTGGCAAGATCTACCCAACCAGGTTGGATGGCTTCAACATATGAGATAAGACTACCACTAGCAACTGTCCATGGTGGAGTTCCATTGGCTCAGAATCACAGGCATTTGACCTCTCCATACCAGTTGTGGGGGACATCCAGGGTAGGAGGGAACAACCGGCTACAAGAGACAGGTCCGACCTTGCTTAGCATTCTGGAGATCAGTCCAGGTTGGCTAGAAGTTGCTACCTTCTTTGACCACCTTTAACTCTTGCTCGCTAGGGAATTCTGGGAGTTGAAATCCACTCATCTTAAAGTGGCCGAAGTTGAGAAACACTGGGCTGAAAACAGAGGGGGAAAAGTAAACAGAGCTTTATACAGGAGAATATGTTTAAGGAAACATATCCATCCAAACTTTGTTTTGTTTTGTTTTAAAGAATGTAAAGCTGGATATTTCATCTTCAAAAAGGGCAACCAGAAAGGTCAATGGTCACTCACTTCATCCGTGGCTCATGTTGCAATCAATTCTGATTCTTTTCAGTCCTGATCTGTCCCTGGCTTGCACCCGTTCCTTCAGAATAAGAGACCCGAATCAGCCAGGTTGCTCATATCTACTCCACTTCTACAGCAGCTGGAACATCCCTGGAGTTGCATAGCGAGGGCTTTAATTCTTGTGATGTAACTGAATAGATGACTATTTCTAAACCAATCAACTTTTGCTTGGAAGTTCTTTGTTGTACTAACCATGAAAGTAAACGTGATCCTTTCCCCCCTTTTCGTAGGGAGACCCCACTTTATGAGAGGACTCTCATAAAGGGCTTTTAAATGATTTTCTGACTCGGTTGCTTATTGGAAAAGGTGAGCTGAGGCAAAACGTAGGGCCAGATTTGGCCATCAATAGTTAATGAAGAATTCCTCCACAGCTCTTCTTGCCTGATTTACCAACTTTCTCTGCGGCTATTACTTTTCAGGGAGAGGCAGCGAGGACCAACGGGCGCCTCTGAGAGCGTGGGACAGGGCTTGGGGGGCTTTGCAGAGCAGTCGGGAAGGGGACTGGATCAGGACAGTCCTGTCAAGTGTTCCTCTCCTCCCATTTCCTGAAGGAGATTCGAATAATCAAATGTTGTGCACCACCTCCATGTTTATGGTTGCCAGGGAATCAGGCTTGGCTTTTCTGGGCTCCTGTCAAGCCGGTGGGCTTCGTAGGAAGCCTGGGATGAATGATGGGCACCTTGTTGGTGAAAGCCTGGAGCGGATGGAGTCTGCAAAAGCTTTAAAGTGCTGGCTGCTGTTAATTATATTAAAGAATGCAAGAGTGAGCAATGGGCTTTTTATTAGCTAATGAGGATTTCCATTTTGTGCCCTCTGATGTTTGAAAAGCTAATGGCTGCTAAATTAAACCCGTTTGGTTTCTCTTCTCCTCCCCGTCCTCCCTCTCTTGGTTAAGAACTGGGGAAGGCAGCGGTGATCCTTTGGCTTATGGGGAAGGGGAGGCTGAAGTGTATGTGTGTGTGTGTGTGGGGGGGTAAACAGGGAAGCTGGTCAAATAATCGACTGGGATAATGAAGCGATTTTGCCCTCCCTGGCATGCACAGCTGCTCCGTCCCCCCTGCCACCGAGAGTTTCCTGGCCACCGTATTGTGCATTAAGGAAATGTACAGTAACTGCACCATTAAACTCATTATTTTGCTGAAAAGGTCCCTTCTCCTCTTCCCAGGACAGAGGGCTGGTAATTAGGCAAGGGATTAGGGCGGGAGACCTGGCCAAGGGCCTTGACTGACCCAGAGAATTTTGTCAGCCTTGCCAAGTCCTGGAAGAGACCCACGTTGAACTCTGAGGCTTTTTCTTGAAACGCAAGGCAGTCAAAGGCAAATGAAGAGGGTGGGGGTGGGGAGAGGGTCCACACACACAATTTTGCAATATGAAGACAGTTTGGAAAAGGTGGGTGGAGAAAACCCATCAGGCAAAGTCCTCCATCCACGCTGCTGCAGCCCCCCCTCCAGTTGCAGCATAACATGCATTTCCCAGGGGTCCCTCTGAGCTGCCTTGTAGAAGTGGGAAAGGGGGCAGCCCCAGAAGCCCCTACCCCAGAAAGAGCCCCCTGCCTGTCTTGCAAGGCTCCCAAGCATCTCTCTCGCCAGCCCCCCCCCAACAGGTGATCTGCTGCGAGAGCCCGCGGTTTCCACTCTGCCCAAGCGTGAAGAGAAACCAAGCTGGGCAAAACGGGGGGGGGGGGGCTGGCAGGATCGCCCCCTCCTCTGCCCCCTTCCCTGCTCCGCCTTTTCTCTCCCTCCGCAAAGGCGAATGTGGCAAAACGTCAGCAGCTATCGGGGCCCTGCCTTGATGGGAATAAAATATGCCCTGAAAGACATTAAAACGGAGTAAATAAAAGAGATAAAAATGGAACAATCAAGCTGGGAACTTCTCCTCCTCTGATTAAAAAGAGCGGGGAGGGGGCCCTGAGGAGGGGGCGCTCCCGCCCTTGAAGAGGCAGCTGTGCAGGAGCCGAAGACTGATAAAGGCGCTGCAACTGCCTGTTTGCCAGAGATAAAGCCGCTCCGGCTCTGCTGTCCTCAATCCAAGCCTAAACATCAGTGTTAATGCAGCCTGACAAACTGGCATTTAAGATAGAATAAATATGGGCCGGTGGCGCTACTATTACCTAGACCTTATTAATCTGCTTGCAGGCATTTAAATGGCGTTAAAAATATGGAGTTTACTACTCAGGGCTTCAATAGCTGTGCAATTCATCACGTTTCCCCCTCCCCTCTTCACCCTCCCCCCCCAACAATTGTCTCCAAGTCCGAAATGACCTGCCACTCACTTGAAAGGGGCTTTCCAAGGAGCTGGGGGGGGGCACAGCCACGGCCATTTGGGCTGATGGGGGCCAGGCTGCCCAGGAGGAGATGATGCCTCCCCAAAGGGCTCTGGACGGGAGGGAGGTGCTGCCAGCCCTTCTGGGTAGGCCAGTCCAGAACATAAGAAGACTAGAAGTTTCCTTCCTTGAGGTGGGCTCTGATATCAGGATCTTGTCTCCCACTGCTGCTTTTGCCCCAGAGCATCAGAGCCCCCCCCTTAAGCCCCTTCTGAAGATTACCTTGCTTCCTAGGACTTAACAAATGCTTCAGCTCACTTGCCCAGGGAAGGGCCTTGCCTAATTCCTGCCAAGGTCTTTCCCTTGTGCTCTCCAGGCATCTGGCGTTGAACTACACCTTGCAGTCAGACTGGATATTAGCAGTCAGTGCTGGCAGGGGCGGTTCAGCTTCCCCCCTTCCATGTTGAAGGTGGAGGTGGGAAGCTGGAAGTCTTGCACCCCAATGAGTCTTGCGCCCCTCCCAGATCTGAGAGGCTTCTTTGTAATGATCCTCCAGGCTTCCTTGAGACAGGAGGACGGGGCGATGGTGGGCGGCTGCCTGGGACAAGCATCTCTTCCCTTGTTCCACGTGGTTGGTGGACTTCCTCTGAGAGGTCACTCCCCAGGAGCCTTGGAAGTGGCAGAGCCTTCTGTCCTCAGCCATGAACGGGCTTTGTGGAAAGAAGGAAGGAAGAAAGGAAGGAAGGAAGGAAGGAAGGAAGGAAGGAAGGAAAGAAGGAAGGAAGGAAGGAAGGAAGGAAGGAAGGAGAACCCCTTTAAAATCAGGTGGCTGGCTGGAGTGAGCAAAGAAGGGAAAAAAGGAGGAGATGGCACTCAGGTGAGCCAGGACACACGGCACTGGCAGGCAGGTGGGCCTCTGCCTCCCGAAGACCCTCCAAACACACCTTCTGCCTCCAGCCTGTAAACATCTCTAGCCTGAAGCAATGGAGCCTTTTCCGGACCTCCGGCCAGTTGCCTCCTCACGCTGCTGTTTCTCCCGGGGCCATTAACCACCCTAATGATTTTCCTCCCCCAACCGAGCGGCTTAAATAGCACCTTTAATTGGCCCCATTGATGTATCTCTTCCATCCAGGCTCTACTTTATAAGAAAGACACGCAGTCATTAAGGGAAGCTCTTAGCAGAATCAACTATTAATGACACAACCAGGCCAAGGTCTGACAACAAGGACAATTCTCAGGTTCCTTCGCTTGCTGGAAGAACAGAGGCTTCCCAAGGGGCCAGTCTGGCCCAGCCAAGGTGGAGCAGGATGGGCCAAGTGGGGGTGGGGGTGGGGGCTCCTGTTGCCCTTCAGAGACCCTGCTGAGGTTGGCACCCAGATTGGCAAGATTTGCACGGGGCACAAACACCTGCTTGGGTGAACCAGGGTAGGTAAAATCATTCTCGGTTGTTGGATTCAGACAACAAAGCTCCTTTCCTTGCGACTTAGTGCAGTGTTTCTCAATTTTGGCGACTTTCAGATGGATGGACTTCAACGCCCAGAATATGGTGGCTGGGAAATTCTGGGTGTTGGAGTCCATCTATCTGAATGGATAGTTGCCAAAGTTGAGAAATGCTGGCTTAGTGTGACGCTGGAATGCCATCAGCAGAGTTGTGGGCACGAGTGATACCGCCCCACATGGGCACATAGCAGAGACTGAAGGCTGCATCTGTTGTGATTTCAGAGCGAAATGTCGGCTGCTGCTGGAACAAATCAAGGTCAGTCTATCTAAAGCAGCATCTGCTTCCTTGCCAAGGCTTGCCAACAGCTTCTGAGAAACAGAGGTAGGGTATGAAGTCAAATTTGAAAGATAGCAGCTGGAATCCAGAGGTTTCTGGAGGCTACTGAACTTGGAGGTTCTGGCTGTCCTCTTTTAGCTGACAATGGTCTCACCTTAATGAAACATAGAACTGGAAACATTCCTTTGGGCAGGAAATGTCATTTATTTATGTTGTACGTCCATGTGGGAAATCAGAGCTGCATTCCTAGCAGTGCGTCCTCAAAAGGTCTTGAGAGCAACGGGGTTTTAGACCTTACAAAGACAAGGTCCTGGGCGTGTCAGCTGATCTCTGAAAGCAGAGCCGGGGGTTTCATCCCACTGGGAATCTCACCTCTGGCCAGGAGGCTTTACGTCAGATAAGGAACAATCTCCCCGTCCATCCAGTGCACCAAAACCATTATTGGTTTCCCCTGTAAAACATGCAGGAGCCAGATTTTTGGGTGGGAGAGGGAGAAGGAAGAGTGCACAGTGCTGAAACATTCTCAGAATGAGCAAAGAAAGAGGAAGGGCATCCCAGCACAGCCAGTCAGGGGGTTTGGGCTGGATCCCCCTTCAGCATCTTCCTTACTGCCAGGCACAGCACAGAGAACAGGCAGGAGGCCAGCCTGCCTGTCTGTCCTCAGGGGTCGCTGGCGAGGGCAGCAGAACGCCAGTCTGGTCCTCTCCCTCGGATGGGGGCGAAGGGGGCACTTTGGGCAGGGGAGAAGCCAAGGCAGAGCCGGGTTCCTGTTGGGCATCGGGTGAGTGCAGGGCAAAGCAAGGGACCGCATGCCAAGGAGAAGAGAAACCCTCCTGGAGACCAGATCAGGAAGGCTTCCTGGGGAGCTCCAGGATGGCGAAAGGGAAGCGTGGTGGACGAGGAAGCAGGCGAGTTGTGGGGAGAGGAGCTGTTCTAATTAGGGGTGGATTATTTATTGTGGGCTTCTGTCACCTGCCATCTGCTGCTCCACTTTGCAAACTCAGGCGGGCAGCAACTCTCGCTGCCCGAAGAGCAGGAGGGCTCAGGAGGTCGGGAGAGGCTCCAAGAAAGGAGGAGAGAGCCACTGCGCCCTCGCCTTGTGGAGCCTTCCCAGGGAGACTATTCAGGGACCATGAGGCTGCATCTGGTGTGACTGTCATCTGCCCCAACCTGCTGCTAAGCTTCTCCGGGGCGCCTTCTAATAGCAGACTCGGGTGCTGGGTGCAAAGGAAACGGT